AACAGTAATCATTTGTTCATATATGTTCTTTAGCTTCTGCAATAATTTATTGTAGATAAACATATAGTATTTATATATTTGTTTTATGTTACTCAATTGACATCAGTAAATTTTTCTCTTATCATTATTTTTAATTACACCATTTACAACAATAATCAAACTTTATCTAATGTTACTATAATGTATGAAAGTTTGGAAACGTGCCATTTTTTCTAATTGCAATAAAAATAATTTTAGTTGATTTAAATTATACACATCGAAAATCTATAAAAATAGCTTTATAATGTAATTTTTGTGATTATCATTTTTTAAAAATTAGAGGATGCGTACCCGGAATCGGAACTGGTTCTGACGGTTCCGAAAGCGGTTCCAAAGTTTTAGAAACTGATATAAACGGTTTCGCTTCCGATTCCAGCAACTTAGGAATTGCCGGTTCTAACAAATTTAATGGGGTTAAGTACCTATAATCATCCCTACGTTAGAGTTTACAAGAAACAACGAGATGTGTATATATTGAGAAAATAGGCCTAAACATGTATATGGACCGAGGCCCATGAAGCCCAAGACAAAAAAGTCAAAAACCTACCAAAATTCCAAAAGGATATTTCTAAGAGACCTTTGAAGTCCTCTGGTCTCTAGTCTCCACTCTCCAGCCTCAAATTAGTATTCTGAAATCTATGGTCCAAAATCTCTGTATAACACAGAATCTACAACTCAATATGGTTCATCATGTAACACTCTCAACAATATAACACACACTGAACAATTTTTAACAGTCGCAAATTGCTCCTACCTTAAGTAACTTCTTGAAGCCTCCAATAAACATTGGACTTCATTTATATTTTATAAAAAGCTTACATATTATATGCATTGGGTCTTAAATACAATTACAGAAATAGTTTTTGTGATTTGGTCGAATTCTCAGTTTTGGTCCCTAAGTTTAAAATTTGCTAGGTTACATCCTTATGGTTTGTGAAAATTGCACTATAGATCATTGGTCCATATAAAAAAAACAAATTATCCTTTCTTTCTTAATTATAAAATTATTTTTGTTTTTTAAATCAATTATCCAAATTATATAAAATCATATTATTATTATTATTATTATTTATTTATTTTTTGCTTTATTTATTTATCTTTGTTTTTGTTGTTTAAAAATCTTTTAATACTTTTGACGTTTTATTTAAATATATTTTTTAATGTTTTTTTTGACGTTTTGTTCGTCCAATATAATTATTTAATGTTGTTTTTTAGGCGTTTTTTGTTTACATCATTCACTTATATGTAGGGTTATAAGCGAAATGAACGTTGGATAACGTTTGTGAACTGTTCGGCGGCAAGTTCGTTTATATTTTTTTATTTAATAAATAAACGAATATGAACAAAAATTATCGTTCGTTTAGTTAAACGAACAAACATTAACAATTGTCTCGTTCGTTCATTTATGTTCGTGAACGTTCGTTTATAATTTTCGTTTACGTTCATTTATGTTCGTTCGTTTACTTTATTTATATTCATTTATGTTCATTTTTTTTTATTATATTACCATATTATATATTCGTTTATGTTCATATATGTTCAATTGTGTTTGTTCATCTTTGTTCGTTTAGTATGTTCACGAATATAAACGAACGAACATGAACCAGATAATTTGTTAAACAAACGAACACGAAAAAGAAAATCTTGTTCGTTTATCCGTTCGTGTTCGTTTATTTGTTCGGCTAACTTAAACAAACGAACATGAACAACCTCTTGTTCGTGTTCACTTGATTCGTTTACAGCCCTACTTATATGTTAGTGTTTGTTCTTTTATTCAGTTTTATGGTTTTATGTGTTTTTCGTGTACATTATTCGTTTATATATCAATGCTTTTTCATTTATTGCCTAAGTAATTATATATATATATATATGTATATATATATATATATATATATATATATATATATATATATATATATTGTTAAAAGAAAGAGAAAAAAATATTAAATAATTTTATTGGAAGACTGCTAGTTATTAAGGTTATTATTTTAATTTGTTTAAAAGGTCAAAAAAATCATTAGATAATTTAAACGAACAAAATGTAAAAAAAACAACATTAAAAAATATATTTAAATAAAACGCTAAAATATTAAAATATTTTTAAACCACAAAAACAAAAATAAATAAATAAATAAATAAAAATAATAATAATAATAATAATAATAATAATAATAATAATAATAATAATAATAATAATAATACGATTTTATATAGTTCAGATAATTTATTTAAAATGAAATTAT